ACGACGACGATGATGGCTCGATAAGGGACACCCAGGAGAAACAATCTCTTTCTCTCCCTTCCCCACTTCTCGCGCGATCAACTTTCGGTTTCGGGTATCGGAGAGAGAGGCGGACGTCATCGTTGACCCAATTCTCGAAAATTGGAGAGGAAAAGAAAAAAAAAAAAAAGAAATATCGACACGTGGATCACGAAAAATTCGAGGATATTTAATCGATAATTATTCGATCAATTATTAAATCGAAAAAAAAAAAAGGAATATTTCGTGTATACTTTATATAAACGAATTTTCGAAGAATTTAATATCATTTTTTGATAATTGCGAAAATTCATACGATCGAACGTATAATCGTTGGAAATCGAATAAAAGTATATCGTAACGAAAGGATCGAGAATTTATTATTATTATTATTATTATTATTATTATTACAACGCGCGCGATCGAAAATTAGTGGCCTGGTTTCGTTTCGGGCGCGCGTTTTCGCCCGATTCGGAGAAATTCGTCGCGAGAGGAGAAAGTATCTGGACGTATCGATCGTATCTTTTCTTATTATCGTCGTAGAAGGATGTTGGACGCGCGTAAATGGTGTCGACCGGTCTGCGTCTGAATGATCGACCGCCTGTGCCTGTTGCCGACACACATTTCGTCTATCGAAAGGAGAAAACTGTCTGCGACCGTAGATTCCACCACCAACTCGTTCTAAATCGTCCTCCTCCCTCGCTTATTATTACGGAAGTGTCCCGGGGAGAAACCCGAGCCTGATTAAATTCCTGATTCTCTCTCCCTCTCTGTCCCTCTTCTTCTTCTTCTTCTTCTTCTTCTTCTTCTTCTCTTTCTCGTCTCTTTCTCACACGTCTTTTTAACACGGAAAAACAAGGACACTTGAGTTTACTCGTTTGAAAAACTTGATGATCATTACACAGGATATTAAAAGCCGTCGTTAAGGGGAAATTTACGATCGTAAAATATTAAATTGAAGGTGTTGGGTAATTAAAGACAGCTACTTTGACGGGGAAAGAAAGATAATTGAATTCTAAATATAGAAGAGTTGACTAAGTACAGTTAAATTGCTGTAACGAAGTTTATAAATTAGAAATAATTAAGAAATTTACCTTCGAGGAATGAAAAACATGAAAATTTGAAATTTTTACATATTTTTAATATTTACAACTCGTCTAAATACGAATTCACGAATACCAACAACAACCATCCCCTCCTTCCCTCCCCATCCTTTCCACCCTCTTAAATTTCCTAAAAAAAAATTTCTCCATAATTTGTCCAAAAAGAAAAGAAAAAAAACTTGCTTTTCCTTCAAGCGAAACCAAAACCGAAACACGAATCGACCCATCCTCTCCGAGAAAAAAGAAAGAAAAACAAAAAAAAAGGACAAGGAAAACCAGGAAGAAAGCCTCTCCAAAGCCTCATCGTCGATCGGGTTTCAAGGATACACGATCGTCCGTGTGGCGTGGCGTCGTGGCAAGGAACGAGCGAACGGTATCAAACCGGGCCTAGTTATACCAACCATCCAACGCTACACGTATACACGTATACCGTGTATCGTTCAAGCGGCACGCGAAGGGAAGTGGAACAGAAGAGAAAGGTATGCGGCAAGATGAACTAGTTTCGTTCCTGGCCTGGCGTCGATCGATTCCTTCTTCCCTCTATCCCATATCCCATCTCATCTATCGTATCGTCCATCTGTTGTCGATCATCCCTCCCTCCCTTTGGGAACAAAGAAGAAAAATTCTCTCTCTGTTCACGAAGTGACGAAGTGAAGAAGAGGGAGGGCGGAAGGAGTCGAATATATCCTCCTCGATCCATTCAAAAATTCACGCGCTTGCAACCTTTTGTTTCAATTAATTCCACTAATTCGAGTTCCAGGCTCGATGGAAAATTTTCTCCTCGAGGAAGTAAAAAGAAGAGAAGAGAAAAAAAATTTAAACGAGTCGCTGGAGGAAAATCCGTGGCATCCAACGTGGTTGCCAATTTGCAATGTAACGTAATAATAATATGTGGCGCGGATCTCGTGCCGCTAATTACGGATCGAAAGATGTATACGTGCAGGGAGAGAAGGAAGGCTGCGCTTGCTCGCGTTACAACACCCGAGATTCGAAATCGGTTACGTTCTCTTCTGCTCCACTAAATCGCGGAAAGAGGGAAAGGAAGCCCCGTTTGTTCGTTCCGTTTGGGCGGGGTGTTGCAGCGCGACGCGATATCCAGTGATCTAGAATAAAGGGAGAGAGCGGATGAGAAGAGAGAGAGAGATGGAGGAGGAGGAGGAGGAGGCGTATAGCAGCCAACCGCGGCGTAACGCTCTGAAACGCTTGGGAAAAATGAGAATTAAAAAAAAACTAGGGGAGGAGGAGGAGATGATAAAGATCGAGAGGAGGCAGAGAGAAAAAAGGGGAAGAGGAGGAAAAGGAGAAAAAACTAGGGGAGGAGGGCGAGCGGGGGCGAAGCAGATCGGAAGCGCAAGCAGCAACGGGCGAGCGACAACGCGAGAACGAGAGAAGAGAACGGCCGCCGGCATCCGAGCCGGCCGCTCTCCTTGCTCCTTTTCCTTTTTTTCCCCCTTTTCTTTTTTTCTCCTTTTCCTTTTTTCCTCTTTTTCATAGCTACGATCACCGACCGGCACGTACAACTATATATAAACTCCGATTTCAAATCCGCCTAGATGCACCGCTCGGACCTCCGCCGTAGGTTCGCCACAGGTCCGACAATTTTCTTCAACGAAGCGCGTGTTCTACGCGGCCGCGTGTCGATCGTGCAGAGACGGAAGTCGGAAACAGGAGCGGGCACGGGGCAGCGAGCATGGATTGGGCGAGGATCGCGTTCACGCTACGCTACGGG